CGCAATGAGACATTTGTTCCGTGACTTTAGCCTTTAAGATACCATTTCATCCCAGCCAGCATCAGCACCCTAAAAAAATAAAAGAGCTCCTCTCTCCAGAACCACTGGAAAAGAAAACAACTCAGTGGCATTTCACTGGTGCTTGTACAAACATTAGTAGGTATTGTCAGAAAACACAACATTTTTCTTTTCTTTTTGTTTCTTTTTTTGTAAAATGTTAACTAAACAAAAATAAACTGTATAATATGCCTAAATATATGCAATGTAAAGTAACTATAAACTACTAGAAAGTACACATTTAAGGTCAATAACTGCTAATATAATGAAGTATCTTTAAATTAGCTATACTTTGGGAGTGGCTGGGAGAATAGCAGACAGTCTCAGCTGACGATTTGGAGTAAACACTGACTCACATCCACCCACGTTGACCTTACGTGCATGTCTTATGAGTTTGGACAAAAGCAACCACAGAAAACTCACACAGGGACCAAGCAACATGTACCCAGGTACTTTAAGCGGTGTGAAAGACTGGCTGATGACATAATTGGTTTCTCTCTCTAGTTCTTTGTGTGATTAATAAAATTTATAATGGAACAATTACAAAGAAACCACGAAGGACTTAAGAGAATTCATCCTCAAAAGCCAAAGCATGTCATAGGTTTATAACAAGTGAATAAGATCAGCAACCAAAGATTTTAGTCTTAATCTTGCTGGCGACCAGATGGGGGAAAAAAGAACGAAAAAAAGAGCACTGAATACAAACACGGCTCAGCTCTCACTTTCACATAGAATGTTAGAATTTTCCACAGTAACAACGATTCTAAATGGGAACCATCATTTTTCTTTTTACATTTATTTTAAAAAGATCCATAAGACAATCCTTATTAGGGTTTAAAAAAAATACACAAAATATCTACAGCAGGTGTTAGACATTTTGTCATTACCTCCAGTTCCTAAACTGACTTGATTCTGTTTCTGTACAGCTTCTCACAGACTCTAAACACTCTTGCAGGGTTAGCTTCATATTTTTGAACAGCTTCTCTTTGAAATGCGTATGCTTGTGACAGCTGTTTCTCAGTAGTGCACACTGTTTTGGTTGCCTGTTTCTTTTCCCTAACTCTTTTGTCATTTGAGACCAGCCAGATGCATTTACATTGTATTCATCACCTAATCTTGGGCTTTACACAGCTGCACGGGTGTCATTTATTATCATTTACGAACAATCTATAACATCCTTTCCCAGATAGACTGTTTTTGTTCACTCTTTGAGATTTTACATAGTGACCTTTGGCCTTTAATCTGGGTTTTATTGGCCTTGTCTTACCTTGAAACCTGTAAATTTTTAAGGTATATAGGGTTGAGTCCTATAATCAACAGCCAACGAGACAATACTTGATAAAGTGTAGGAGAAATCATCTGGTGATGATAATGTGATTTCTACAGTACGAGTGTTTCTGAGGCCATTAATAAAAATGAAATGCAGTATTTGGTGTTAATACTAAGGAATAAACCTGGTCCTGTGTGAAAACAGGATTACCCCCTGAACCTAATAACTGATTGTTCCATCCTTGGGAGCAAGAACTGCAATTAAGCAACTCCAATAACTGGCAATCAGTCTTTCACATCACAATTTTTCTTTCTAGAATTGTTTTAATTTAGCCACATTTGGGGGGTTTTGAGCATGAACAGCCAAAGCATTTCAATGTGATTTGAGTCTGACTATCACTAGGACAAAAAAACTCCAAAAAACATTTTAAGCCAATAAGAGGTGGAATAGCGTCTGTGTTTTGGAGCTTCAGGGTATGAACTGATGGCCAGACATTCCCCTTCAGGACTTTCTAGCAGAGAGCAGAACTGATGGTCCATCAAGTCACCCACAACAAATGTTTATTTAGATAGTGGGAGGAGCCTACTTCACTTTGTTGGGCATGTTCTATTCAGATGATATCTTGATTTAACAGGTGTGGCATGATTGATTTAACGGGGGGATTGCTTTTTCACATAGGACCAGGTAGGTTTACACTAGATATCTTTATTCCATCATTTAACCCTCTCAAGGCAGGCGGTGCCGATCTGCAACAGTTAAAAACTAACAACCTGATTACCCCACATACATATTTTATGAGTTTTTTTTACTCAGAAGTACCACTGCAGGACTGTGCATTAGCAAGAAAAAGTTTAATTTGAGCCTGAGAGGGTTAAAAACTGCACTTTGCATTTACCCACATTATCTTTATGTAATGTTAAAATTTTAAAAACATGTCATTGTGACAAATATTCAAAATTCTAAGAAACCAGCAAGGGAAGAAAGACGTTTTCACAGCATCGTATGTTAGATATTGTTTTTGCTTGAGTCATATAAATATGCTTTAATTTCCCCAAGAACTGTAAATGGACTGTGTAAAACGAGTTACCCTGTGGTACAGCACTGATATGCAGTCTTACTGCTGAACTGATGGCACTTTTTGCTTTGACGGCACACAAACTGTGGCTGTCACTTGACTACTCTGGCTTTTTCATTCCATTATCCTTCTATCAGCACCAACTCACCTCTCACTTCAGACCCTGTCATTTTGCATCTGACAAGCTGATGCCCTCACTCCTTCCTGTCTTTTCTCTATCATTTGATCCCCACTCAGCAGCTCTTCATCTCAGTCATTCCCATTACATACACTCGCTCACTAGAACTTGCACCTTCAATGTCATCTCAGTGCTCCTT